CTTCTAACAAGATGAAGCATACTACTGCCAATAATTATAATATTAAATATCCTTTATTTTTTTAAGTTTCTGAAGGAAAAAGAAGTTAATCATTTAACTGAATCAATTATTGAGCAATTTTTGTCCAAATAAAGCTTATTAATCTCAAATCTTCAAATCATTTGCTAATTTGATTAAATTTTGTTAAGTAATTTTTATTTTTCGCCAGATTTGAATTTTTCTGCTGATTACGAGATGACAAAATTGAAGTTAAGCTTGACAGCCAACATTTTAAAATAATGAATATTGGTTGAGCCCTAATTTTGAATACAAAAATTAGGAAATATAGCATATATTTAAATTGAAATGAACTAACTATTTGCAGTAAGTTCGAAGAGATATCAAAAATTAGCACATTATATTTTAAGAAAGCACAATATGCGAGAACAAAACTAAATCATGATATCAATTTCAATTATTTCATTAATCAAAATTAATAACTGGAAAAGATTAGTTCTTATTTTGCTGTAAATTAATGTTGAGATTAAGTAGATAGTACAGTCAAATTGAATATAAAGCTAAATTTGCTTATAATCTCAAATGTTCAAATCACTTGCTAATTTGATTAAAGGAAGTTGATTAACTATTCAGGTGTGAACAGTTGTTTATGAAGCACAATGTTTCATCCAGTATATGCTATCTATCTTTTACTTTTATCCTTTTTTGACTTTTTTAATTTGAGAAATTAAAATGTATATTTTATAATTTTCAAATCAGTAACATTGTTCAGTACGAAACTATTCGCTGCAATTACCGTAACAGTGTTACTGATTTTGGCAAATTGTCATACAGAAATAATTCATAATATAAAATACGACAAAATCTTAAAAAGAATAAAAAATAATTATAATAGAAAATCGAATACAAACTCAAGTTCATTTTTTTCATTTGGTATATATTTATTCTTCAATTTAAAGCTAAAGCAGTCAGTTTTCTTGAATTATTTTCAAATTATATCTTGCGTACAATACAGCGAACAGATTTCAACTTTAAGAATATTTATTACTCACTGCAAAGATTCACTTCAAATTTATACTTTTGTTGATAACCGTCTTAAAATCACTAAATTTTTGGACGTTTTCAGCATCTTAGAGCGATTCAAGCCATTCGCTCAATTAATTCTAATCCACTTTACTGTACTAAATTTGAAACTTGCTAGCATTTTTATTAAAAATTTATTAAATTGCTCGATTTATAATGCAAAGGGTTATCGCAGGACAACCGTGAAAGTACTGTGAAAGTAAACAATCTTTAAAAATTAATCAAATGCAATTGCGTCAAAATAATTACTTCACTGAGAATATATAATTAAAAAAATAAAACTTAACTTGTGCTAAAGTTCAAAGTTCAGAAAAATCACATATACAGACATATTTATCATTTGTTCATTGGCAATTTACCCGCTATTATGCACATACTGCAATTAATTTTACAAGTAATTAAATTAATCACAAAAATAGTCAAAAATAATTGAAATAAACTAAAACTATTGATTTTCAGTTATGTGACCTTTGACCGAAGATTTTCAGAATTCTTATGACAAACATTTTTTCCTTTTCTTTTTTGCTTCTTTCTAGTAGAACAAGGTGGTTTCTCGACAAGTTTTATCTTTCCTGAAATGTTTTTTAAGCTTGCTGTGTGTTGTTCTAAGAAGTGATCAGAGAAAGTTTGCAAAGTACAAAACTTTTTAAAGTCATTCCAATTTATTATATTATAAAATGCTACTAATTACTGACTTCTCAGCGAATAAAAAACTTAAAGTTAAATAAAAAATTACTTCAAGTAGATAGAAATTTGATCTGATAATATTTTGCATCATATAACAGTTGTGAGCTTATCAGTCAGTTATTCACTGATAAGTCTGCGATTATTATCTGATCTAAAATATTATCAGATCAGATTTTTCTCTTTGTATTATTAGTAGTTTTATGAATGAACTCTTTTTTAAATCCTTTTGAAATGCAATAAGTTTTTACGATTACTGAACAATTTATTTTATTTCAGAAATAATTGATATCTAGAAAAGTAATCAATCTTTAACGCTGTTTTTTTTAAATAAAATTTTTGTTTTAACTATTTTAGAATGCTCATTTCTAACTTAAAATATATACGAGAATGATCAAATAACTTTGATATCAGGAGGATTCAAAGTGCGCTTAATTGCTCGGCATTAAAACTTGCTTTTCTTATCACTAAGAAAGAGTAAATAGCTTTAAAAAAGCAGTTAACTGGAATTACTCTTGCAATGCTATTTTTATATTTTTAGCATATTTACCTCAGCAAGTGAGGAAAGTTACAATCATGTATGTTTTAAAATGATTCAGTTCAGAAGCTGAAAGAGAACGGTATTCAGTTTTCCACTGAAGAACTGATTTAGTAATATTAAGTAAGTAAAGAAAATCAATTTGCTGAAGAAAATTAAGTAAGTAAAGATTTTCTCATTTTTGAAATTCATCACTTTATTTTATGCATAGTTTTGCATTACTCTTACTTACTAACTTCTGTTCAGTCGCAAATTTATCTTGAATTTAACAAAGGTATGTTTAGATTAAAGTGAGGTGAGCTAAAAATTTATTGAAGTTTAAAAGGAATGATAAATTTTAAAATAAACCAATTCAATTGAAGTCAGTTGCGATTTTAGCTAAAACTTTACAAAATTCTTCGAAAATTGAGTTTGCAATTCATTTATCAAAAACAAAGCATAAGATGAAGATTTGCGAACAGATACAAAGTTTAAATGTAAACTAAAACTGCAATTACTATCAGTTTTTTCTGCGAAAATTTAATCACTTTATACAAATTCACATTTTGTATACATGCGTTGTTTATATAAATAAATTTACATATTTGTAATAAATTTATAATTTTTTCACAATTTGTATTTTTTATAAATAAATTTGAAATATATTAATTAGTACTATTATTTGCAAGTTAATTTTCAGATTTAAACCTTTCTATGAAACAGTGCTCACTAGTGAAGTTTTTATTCCTATTCATAAATATAAAAGTACCTATATAATATTTATATCTGCAACTGAAAAAATATTTTGTTTGTATTTTAAAAAGAACAAGTGTGAATGAATTATATCCAGTGGCTTGATTGTGACAGTTCATATACTGAATTAAATTACGATTTCAATTTAGCAATAATAATAATAATCTGATAATTGTAATCATAACTGTTATCACTTTTGTCTTTCTCATATTTGTATCCCTTTCCATGCTGACAAAATTTTTTTTTACAATATAAAATAATAAAACATTTTTGAAAATAAATTTTTATTTTAGGTCGAAAATGCTATTTGGATGGACGAATTGAGCATTTTTTTGTCAGAGTAATTTCGAATTTTCACCTAAAAATTTGCTGTGGTCAATTTGCGAAGATAATAACTAATTAATTATCAATACGAATGCAGCGAGCTAAGCTTAATTACGTGATTATTTTGTATTACTATGCTTAATTCTACCTGCAAATTATTAACATTTTCTGTATTTGTAAAGAAGAAACTTGCCATTTTCCTATACAGATAGTCACAATATAATGTTTGCTGGCTATTATTTATCGTCTGATATATTATTCAGAGCTTTAAGTAATCATAAATAGAAAAAAGTAAGTAATACTATTTAATTTTTGCACTATTTATTTTAATAATCTTTTGGTACGCCACAACTTTAAGTCTTCATTTGAAGAAAAATATTTCATTGCTTAACTATTTATCACTGCTTGTTTGCATTACAATTTTATCATAATTAGTCATTAAGTTAGTTTTTTCAAAAATTTCATTTTATTGATAGAATTACTTATTATCAGTAATAATTGCAAATGTTTAGGTTAACTTTTATGAACTCCTTACTAATCGAAGTCGAAGCATAAATTGATAAGTAAGTAGTAATTCGAATGGGTCGTTACTGTGGTCAAGCACAAAAAACCTTTCGAGGCTTCTACAGGCAGATTCTCAAAAAATTGGGGAAAAATGATGAAGAAAGTGCTGATTCAGAAGAACAAAGTGCTCTCAACCGATCTCCTGATGGTATACTGCTTCAGGAATCTCTTGACGATGAATCCTCTGCTATTCGACTTTCCCGACGATCCTCTGTCCTCGTACTGTTTAATTACTGTATAATAATTTATTTATATTCATAAAAAAGTACTATTCAAATTTTTATGCACCAAAATAACTATTCAAGTACTTTGTACTGAACTATCCAATTATTACTCTTTATTTTGATTTCATATTTGATACATTCACATTAAAATGTATCGTTTTAATAATAAAATATAACAGTTGGTGATAACAAGTGGGGATATATTCAATTTATAAATATATTCAGTTTATAACTAAATAAAATAAATCAGAAATAAATTAATGAATAACATGCTAATTCATTCGATCACAGCGTAGTAATCGTGATCTTTTTTAATGGATTATTTACATATCTATGAACACAACTTATAATGTAAAGTGTATAAAATATGTATTACAACGTTTATAAATGTATTTTTATAATTCTGATTATCTTTAAAGTACAATATTCAGTGCAAAACTCGAAAGAATCTTCTAAACTTTGTATTCACGTTATTATTTTTGATACTTAATATTGGGCTGCAAAAGAATTAAGAAAAGATTAAAAATTTTGTTCAAAAATAAAAAGTTTAAGAATTGAAATATGATAAAACATCTGTTGTTTAATGGCATACATATGCAGCAAAAAGTAATGATTTCTTGTTTTTACTTAAAATTAAAAAAGAATTAAAATTAAATACTCATTTTTATAGGTTGATTTGATCTCACTTTTCCGGCGATCGTCTTCAAACAATGTTCGAACTGCACGATACCAGGAACAACGCCTAACAGATGCTAAGTAAGTTTGAGATTTGAACATTTCTTTCTGCTTTTTTTGTACTCAAAAACTGATAAAATATTCAAAAATTCTGATACTAACAATAGCAAAGTTAAAATTTTTAAAATTAAGCTGTTTAAAAAAGGCGCATGAAACTTGTAATTCAAACAATTTAAATTAGTTGCACATTTCTTTCTAATATTTCATTCAAAAATTTTAAGCAATGAAATTTATTTAAAGTTAGCTGCTGAACTGCATTTTTTAAGATGCAAGTAATTGTAATGTTTTGAAATTTAATTGAGTAATTATTATAGCTGAAGGAAATCAGATGCCAAATACTGATAGATAAAGGGATCGAAGAAATTTTTTTTTATATATAGAATCTTTATATAAAATATCAATGTGAAATGTGATAATCAGAAGGAAATTAAAAAATTTATTTCTCATATTTGTAATGAATTATTGTTTTGAGCCTTTCTCATATTATTTTGCATATTTATTTCGGTTGTACTGACTAAATTGTTCTATCGTAGTATCGAGGACGGAGATGGAGATGTTGATCCCAAACAAATGTCCAAGGAAAGAATTCTTGAAGCTATTCGTCAGAAGAAGGAAGCCATTTTGCGTTTGCGCAGTCAACCATGGAGTATGAAGCGGAAACGACGCACTTTGAAGTAATCCAATCAATTACACGTATAGATTTTTATTGTAACAAGAAAGTACAAATATACAAGTTATGGATAGTTATTGTTTTAATCCAATATAAAAATTGAAATTTTAAATCGTCTTATAATCAGTTAGTACTGAAGAAATTTTCATCATTGCATGTTGCATCATCAAATCAGTGAATAAGTAATAGGAATGCTTAAGAAACTGAATAATCTTTAAAGCTTAGGTATAAGAAAGCTATTATTATTACTCGCAAATAATAACAACACTTACTGGCAATTTATGGATTACTAATATGCAAATTTGGAATTACATAATCCTAATCAGCTGCAAAGAAAATTTTACTTAAATGACAAAAGCTTCAATCTGAGTATTTTAAAAACTTCAAACTGTATTTGGAACAGAAAAATAAAAATGATTTGTAGAGTTGCTCGACGTTATCTCAAACGTCAAGAATCAAAAGTTTCACGATGGCATTTGTATAAAGTTGAAGCAGTTAGACGTTGGACTACTGTTGGTCGATGGTGTAGCAACATGAAAATATATCTCATACCATGGGAGGCAAAAATTAAAAAAATTGAAAGTTAGTACAGTTTATAATATTTAAAAAAGATTAAAAACATTTATCCGTAATTAATTTTATTACAAATTTCAATTTCAAGAAAATTCATATATTTATATTATTTATTCAAATTATTTCAAGTCTTTACAGTAAGAATAAATTATTGGTCATAACTATAAAGTAAAAGTTTACCTAAAAAGACATTTAATCTAATCTAGCTATTTTATCGCCAAAATAACTTACGTTTCAAAAACATTATTCAGAAATAGTTCCAGGTCATTACGGTTCTGTTGTCTCGTCATATTTTACATTTTTAAGATGGGTTCTTAGTGTAAACATAACAATGACCGTTATAATGATGTTATTCGTTACTATTCCGGAAGTAAGTCAAAAGTCATACTCTATCAGTAATGCATTATTTATTTAGTAATTTTTGCATTTGAATATAAACTTCTTAGAATTATCATGAAGTCATAATTTATTTCTTAAATTCATTTAAGTAATAATAAATTAATTAAGATATTAAGTTCTTTAAAATTTAACAAAAATTTGTTGCATTCAGTATATTTTGATCAATTTTCGTTAAATTTATCCATTTTTTGAAATTTTCGTACAGAAAATTCTTTTCTCGAATTTTTTCTTCCTATTCTTATAAGCATAATGATAACAAATGAAGTATTTCGATGAAAAATTTGATTCAGTGGTTAGCAGATTCTCGAGATGATCCAGAACGATTTAATCGTACCTATCACATTAAAGTAAT